GTTTACAGCTAAAAGTTAACCCTTGGTCTAAAACTGTGCATGAGTTACTGTAACCTACTGCTCTGAGTAATGCAGTGGGATGCTTTTGTTGAGAGGTATGGTTAGGGTGAGGGTAAGAGCAGAGCCAAAGGGGTCATCTCTGGGATACATCCTCCTCAATCAGGCCATAACTGTGTTTAAAACATAGGTTTCCTTTTAAACATATGCAGCCAGCAAGGCTTTTGAAACAACCAAAAGCTGGATTTGTGCTCACATATGGCTGGATAATGACCTCATGAAGTTTCATTTCAAGGATGTAAAGAAAACCATAGGCTTGGTTTCTCTAAAGTTGAAATCATTCAAATTCTAGCATTCAGTGAGCTTAAGGAAAATGTTATCCAAAACAGGACACCTGTGATCATGCTTGTGCATTTCTGGATTTCTGTAGGACATCAGCAAAGCAGAACTGAAAACTTCTGTCTGTTTCATTTAGTACTTAAATGGGGAGGATATGCTTGGATAGATAAAATGCCTGTGCTCTGTTGGAACCTGCATGTGTCAGACTGTCAGATTTTAAAGATGCTTGGTAAAAGCTCCTACAAAACAGACTCTGTGTGTCAAATATAGGATATTTACATTACAGACATTTTTTAACCTAATAATATTAATTTTAGATGTGAAACTGCAGAGTTTGCCCTATGAAGGTTAAATGGTCATATTTTTGTAAAGGCTCAAATTTCAGAAAAGGGGAATCATTAAAGCAGCAAAGTTGCATTTTAATAAAGAATTTAGGGTAAAAAACGCCAACTATATTGCATAATGAAATGTGGAATATTTTTTAAATATACATGTTTAAATATAATACATATTTTTTTTCCAAAACCTTTCAAACAAAATTTTCTCAAACCTAGACTGGTCATATATTGTATGGTGACAGGGATATGATGTATTAATTGCTGTGCCACAGTTCAGAACATGGAAAGAGCAACTGATTTACTACTCATGAATTCTTATCTGATTTTTATCGCAGTGTTGACCTGGGCCAGAGATCCATACCCTATACATTAATGAACCATTTGTCTGTCACTAGCAAACATTTGAGTGCAGTCTGCATGTCAGATCATGAAGCTGGGGCTCGACCTTTCAGGTCTGAAAGCTAGTCAACGGGTTTCTGCTAAAAGGGGTCTCCTCTAGATGGTCAACATTAAATACTACAGATGAAATGTTGGATTGACACTGTCTTCCTGTAAGATCTAGTCCTGTTTATTAATAGTCGAGGGTTATTTCAGGGGTGGCGGTGTTGGTCGACTGGTCCTCCGTCACCAACATCCAAACGATTATTAGATCAATTACAAATGTACAAAGCTTCATGGTTCCAGAGGATGAAGCCTACTCACTGTGGGGTCAACCCGACGTTTCCTCTAGCGCCATCATTCACATTTGTGGTTTTGAGTGAAATATCTGAACAGATGGATAAGCACTGGTCAGATGGATGGTCATGAAATTTAGTACAGGCATTTGTATTCCCCCACATTAGGAATGGATGACTTTGGTGAACACTTAATTTGCATATATGTAATACTTTGTTTTATATCAAAATACTAACATATTACATTCCCGTCAGTCTCAGCTCTACTTTGTGTTTAGTGACATTTAGCAAAATAACATGCAAAATATCAGCTTGTTTGCACTGTGAACATGTTAGCATGCTTGTGTTAACATGTGCATGCTAACACGTTCACAAAATACTACTGCAGCAAAATGTGGCCTCTTAAAGCTGCTAGCATGGGTGTAGTCTTGATATGGTTATATTTTGGCAAAACAAAGAGCTCAGTTAAGGATAGGGATGTGAAGTATGGTCGAGGTATAGTTACAGTCTGGAATATGTGGTTAAGGTCAGGCAGAGATCAGGGTTTCAGATAAATGCCTAAAAGGTCAACACTGACTTGAGGCACAACACAGGGAGTGTTGAACTGTATCCACCCCAGCCACTGACCTCAGCCTTTTCTTATGACACTGCCAGTGAACCTAAATCCCTGTTGTAAATTATTTGAAAAGAAATGTAATTCTAAGGAAAAGGGGTTGTGACAGCAGCCTACTCCATGAAGAAAGGAGTGGTTATGTATTGGTCCTTAATGATTTAACTGAGGCACATAAATCGGTGTTTCACTAAGATAATACGCTGTTACTGTAATTACAGTAAATACAGTAAATACTCCTTTTGCGGTACGTTTCGGCGAGATCTGAGTTTGAGCAGGGCAGAGCTGTAGACTTAACATGACTCTCTCACACCTGCAGTTTGAATTCAATAGTTTATGTTTACTAATTCACCCATGAACGTTTGTGCCGACACATAATCAGCTGTCCCAGAATTTCCACCAGTGAAATGACTGCTCATTCTTTCCATCTGTCTCTTCCTTTTTTTTTGCTTTTCTACTAGACACATTTTTCCATAGGCCCCAGTCACTTATCATTTCCTCATCAAACCACTCATCCTCAAATCACCCACTATCTTACACTTAATGTATCCTTTGAGACTACTGCGAAGCTTATATGCTAATCCTCTCTCAAGACCCAAGGTTTCATCCCTCGACTCCTTACTTATTCCTAAAAGCAAGCCTCTTCATTTCCACATACCCATCTGCCAATGACGCATCTTCTTTGAAGTGATCATTTTTCAGGTCTAACGCAATGATGGCTTTTATGTGGAAATGTTGCAGTCTGGAGGACATATTTTCCAGTAGCAAACACTATTAATGGCCATTTTTCTCCTCATTTACCTCCAGAATATGGCTTTTATCTTAGCTGCAGAAACGTTCCCTCTGACATGTACTGTGTCTGTGCATGTGGGCACATAGAGGGGAGTGTGCATACTGTAGATTGCGTACATGTTTGCATGTATCCATCTTTTCATTAATATAAGGGTACTAATGTTTGTAGATGTATTCTGATTGTCCATCCTGTAAATCTACTATGTTAACTTATTGCATGTCTGCCTGTCCTGGAAGAAGGATCCTTCCTCTTTTGCTCTTCCGGAGTTTTTTTTTCATTCTTTCCTTTTAATATTTTTAGGGAAGATTTTCCTTATTCAGTTCCAGGGTTTAAGGACATAGGATGATGTATTCTTTACAGATTGTAAAGCCCCTAAAGCCAAATTTATAATTTGTGATATTTTGCTTTACAAATAAAAACGGACTTGACTTTTAAATTGGTTCACAGTTTATGTCCTGTCCCCTGGTACCCCACCTGAAACACATCCATTATGTCTCCTCCACCCTCCATTGCTAAATCCCAGAAACAATTTCAGTATATCACTTCCATAGGCTATAAATTACACCACACTATTCAACACAGGCTCAAAGTGTTATTTATGTTCGTCAGTAATTCATCACATAGATATTAACAAACAGGAAAAATATTTTTTGTCAGGTAGGGGAGTCAGGATTTGTAAAATGGAAAGGAATAGATAACATTTAAAAATACTTCAATGATAGGGAGACGTTACACATAATAATAATGAGGTAACAGAAAATATCTGAAACTAAACAGAGTGTGCAGATAAGCTGTCAAAGTCTGAGGACCTCACAGGATGATTTGTTCAGTCGAACAAAAACAGGCAAAATTCCTAAATGAAACCCCCTGCATGTCCTACAACAAAAATCCACTGCAAAAATCAGTTAAAAACTAGATGTCGAGTTTTACAGAGGAGCTCTAACAGCCTGGGTGAACTAATAAATCCGATGGATTTGGTGAGGGGAGAGAGGGATCTCGCATTAGTGGAAGAGCATGGTGAAGCCTTAGGGAGAGCTAGGGAGGCTCAAAAGTCTCCTCACTGCCTCTGACGTTCTTTAACCTCTTGTGGCTTTGAAACCTCATGTCTTTGGCCTCTACTCACTCTCTATTTATGCAAGAAAATAAAGAAGAAAACGCTGCCCCTCCTAAATATGTAAACTGCAATTAAGCTAAATTCCAAGTTTATTTCCAAATGCCATCCTTGCTCCAGACCATGTGAGAGATTTGAGTCTAAAATTATCACACTTTTGGTCAGGAGGCCAAGACGAAGCCAACGCTAAAGATTGTGTCCTCACGGGCCACAGCATCTTTGTGATGCTGTGAAGGACTGAAAGGATTTTAATAATAATAAAATTGGAAGGCCATACTTCACAAGTGTCTCATTTAAAACTCCTCATTAACTCCTTATTGATTAGGACAGTGTACGAAAATGTGACTGCACATCTTGGTTGTCACAGGAATCAATGTTATACATTTTACAGTTTGAGTTGTGGCTCCTGTTGCTTTTAACATGACAAAAATGTTCAAGGTAGAAACAATATAACAACATCTTGTTATAAGTTTGTTATGATGAGTTACAGTACGTCTGTTGTTCTATAATCACTCATCCACTTGAGAGCCCAGGGACTTGTGAAGTGAGACAGCTTAACTAAAGGCATCATGTCAGTTTAACTGCTTTATGTTAGCATTTCTAACCAGAGGTCTGATGTCTGAAGGTAAACAAATAGCAGCCCACGCACCCCAACACATCTCTCTGTCTCCCTCTGTCCTTCTTGCTCTGTCTGTCTCTCCATCATGTGTTTACACATCGGTAGAGTAAGTGACAGGGCTGTAATCGGAAGTCTACTACCGTGTCATTTGGAAGACTGTTGTCTTTTCCTGGGAGCGTGGTGGTCAGCGGAGAAAAACAAGATTTACATCTCACAGGGAGGGGCAAGGCGTTAACCATACATTATCCCCTATTGGCTGTGGTAAAGAATGGGCGTTAACATGTGGGAGAGGTAGAGACGAAATTGTCACCCATGGGAGAAATTTTTATATCAAACACTAGAGAACCTCAAAACAAGAAATAAGTACAAACTGGGAAAAACATGAAAAATAAAAACACATATGCCAAACCACTCTGTTCGATGACCTGTGTGATACATTTTCTATTATGATGAAATATGCACTGTTTCTCTGTGAGTCACCAGTTTCTAATCTTTAGACCAGGTGTGTATTGTACTTACTGTGGCTGCTGTCAGATGTCAGTCAACTTTGGTTTGAAAGGAAATGCCACCTATAAACAAAAGACAGAGTAGATTATGGTAAGTATGTTTCATAAAATGTCAATCTGGAAAATCAATCATAGTATTTCAGGGGTCATTTTGTAAACTATATTTGTGTTTTCTTTTGTGATTGCCTTTGATATTGGTGTACTTTTCCACTTTCAGCTGGAAATGCAAAATAACAGCCAGTGCATGATTAAAACTTCCTCTATAGCGAGTTTATTACAGTTTTATTTTATTTTTTCATTCTCTCAATGAGAGATTTAAGCCACCACAGACCTCCTTTCACATCCTGGAAAGGATTAAACAGACATGTAAGAGTGAGCCTTATTTCTTATTGTGCTTGTTAGAAACTGGCAACTTGGTTAGAGGACAACAAAGTTACTACAGTGTATGAAGAGGCCTGAATGGAGGCACCTTTATCATCTGTTCATCATCTGTTGGTGAAGTATGCAGAAGAGACGCAGAGTGAGATGCACAGTAAAACCAAATGTATACAAGTATTCTGTCTGAAGACCAGTATAAAGCATTATATTGGGAAATACTGTATTGTTCAATTCATGCAAAGCAGTGCCTCACAAACAGTGCATGTTGTGCTGTTTATAATCTAACACTGTACTGGGAATATCTGGAATGATGGTTTCTTCAATTCTCTGTGCCGAAATGTTATCAAACTCCATTAGTATCTTTAACTCAAGATATTAAACATTATGAGAGGAAAAACAGCTATTTTAACCGATGAACAAAAAGAGTTCTTTAGCTCAGCAGTGCCATGTCCTAGTTTCAGATGAATCCAGCCAGACAGACACGACTAATCCCACACAGGTTCAAAGCTCTGCCAATGCACATGTGGCCTCAACCTGAACAATGCTAAGGAGAATAAAAGAAAAAGACTGAAATAGCCAAGAGCAGGCTGTGAGTAATGGACTGATCTGTCTTATTTTTACCAGTGTGTGTGCATGTATGTGTGTCTTTTCAGTGGTAGTATAATTCACATTTGCAATGAATTTCAGATAAGTGAGCTCAGCAAAAAGTTACAAACTTTTTTTTTTTGTTGGTCAGTGATTGTTGACTAAGATCGGCCACCCCACCATGTTCATTCCCATGACTCACCACCCCCCATGAGACCCACCAAAGAGTGGCTCATCCACCAACGCAGGGAGCTTACTAAGACCGAATGGCCAAAGAAGACCCACAAATTTATTAACATCAAAGCCAGACAATAACACATATGGGCACACACATACTCAGTCACACGCATATTGTATATTTGATCTCAGACACCAATCAAGCAGATTCACACTGACTCCTCAAAGATTTCCACTGGGAATTCATTTCCTAAACAATTCATCCGTCCATGAAAAGAAAGATCCAAGCCCAGCTTACAAAACAGAACACAACTTTATGAGCATTCCCTCTATAAAAGAACAATGTTAGGTACTATTCAAAAGCATCTACATGAATGGCCAAATAGTGTGAAAGTGCTTTGAGTGTGTTGCAATGCATAGAAAAGCGCTATACAAGTCTAAGACCATTTAATGATGACCTCAATAATAAACATATAATTGAATTTATACATTTATGACAATTTCACCAAAAGCTTAAACATTTAGAGCTTCATAAACACAGATGTTAGGGTGGAAGTGTTGCATTAAAGTGCATACAATTTTACAGTTGTGACTATTTAAGTGGCCGGTGAATGTAAAAACTTAACAAGACCATAACATGAAAGGTTTCCAGGCTCAGGGTTGACAAGCTCGAGTTTAATAGTTTCATTTAATAGCACAGTTTCCATTAACATTGGCAGAGTTCTTGCAATTCAACTATAACTCATATCTGCTGAGAAAAGTTGAAATGCAAGGATCAATCTCAAGATCTCATTGTCGAATCCTTCAAATAAGAATCACAAATAATTGGAAAATCAACATTGTTATACAGCCCTACCATTTAACTGTCCCTTAGAAACATTCCTCTGCCACTTATCCTGTTTTTTTCTTTGAATGACAGCATACACTACATAACCTTTTTAAAAGCTGCACTGTTGTACATGTGTAGAATCACATCGCACAATACACGACCTAAATCACAGCACATATAAAAAAGCAAAAAGCAGTGAGACATTGTATTTTCAGTTACAAGCTGAAATCATGTATAGGTTGATCATAAAAATAGTTTATCCTATGTGATTTATTGCGTGAAGTAGACTTTGTGAAGTAGACTCAACTTCAAACCCAAAGCCAAACACTCTCACACAGCAAGACATAAGAAATGAGTTTGTTCAAGTCTGAAAGAAGATCTTCAACATCTGTGCCACATATTGTATCACATACCAGTGGTTCCATATAAATTATAACCATTTTCACAGCTGAACTTAAAACATTGTGCACTAATAGCCAGGCAGTAATTCTGAAAATAATGCCGATTTTATTTTTTGGGTTTTTTGCATATGAATTTGATATTATACCTCTAAACCTCTGTGTTTTTGAGTTTACATTTGAGCACCTGCAACTTACAGTATGCCCAATATCATCACGCTATGAGACCACCTCAGCATGTAAGAGAGCAAAGGTAAACATTTCTCAATAAATTCAGCTGAGGAAAGCCCTGCTGGAGTGCGGCTGCATTGCGAAGGCCAAAGAGTGCTATACTCAATCTAATCAGTCAATGTGAGAGCTGGGGGACTCTCATAGTTCATGGCTGAGCACAGACATGTGGGACCCAGGCAAAAACAAAAAAAAAAAAAAAAAAAAAAAAAAAAGGAAAACCTTACACATCAACAGGCTGTGTAACAGCTGCACATGTTTTTCACTCAACTGATATCATGTGAAGAAGATTTGAAGAACCATTCTATTCAGAAGAGTCTAATTACTCTTCTTTGTCTGATTTGTTGTACTTGATTTATGATTCTGCAAGGCAGCACACTCATTATGAAGAGAACGAACGATGAAACTCGTATTTCATGTTGCGGAGAGACATCATGCCAACAGCGTGATTTTCCAACACAGCAGGATTTGGTGACTTAATGCCTTTTCCACTCCATACATTCTGACATGTCATAGCAGGAAAAGCACAGGTGTAACAAATAATATTAGTAATGGCTGTACTTCATTTGGATGCATCGGTGTCAGAGCCTTGGACATGTCCATGCTGGCCCATTGTCACAGCTAACCGCGTCACTGTAATAGATTGGAGCCATCATTAATGTGATTACTTCCACCTGTGCTTATTTGACAACTCAAAATGTTTGTTGCAATATACATATGCCTTTTTCAGTTCACACAGGGGGTGTGGTGGAAGATGTTTCAGGAAGCTGTTAACATTTAGACACTGATCGGGGGGGGTTCGGATGGGTTTGGACATTACATACTATGTGTTTGCCATGTCCAGGTCATGTTCAGACAGAAACAGGCGGCCTGATCCATTCTCTACCCTGGTTTGGGTAAAACTTCACAGCACATAACTTTCTCTAAATCAACAAATATCATTGTCGGTTCGTGTGTGAGTTAAACAAGGACAAACAACGATGAAAATTAATCAATGAATTTAAGAAGTGCATATTTTAAACTCACTGTTCAGGCAAGAGAATGATATCAATCTTCTGATCTCATGCAAAGAAGCTGATGGGGCTCAGGTGAGGATATGGTCATGACTGCAGGACCACAACCTTTACTCACTTGCAGACATGATTCGGCAAATGAATCAGGGTCATGAAAAGGCACACCACCACCGATTGTGAACTCCACAACTTTATCACAGTATTTTACTGTCAACGTGCAGCTGATATGATACTTATGCCTCTTTCACATTATTAATCTGGAAGATACTGTATTTCAGGCCTTTGACACATCTCTAGCATAAAGGTGAAAGCCTTGTATTTCACTGTCTGACACCATGTACTGTTTCCTTATGCATGTATCTTTAATCAGGCTCCAACTATCATTACAAAAAGGGAACTGGAATGAGGTTAACGTATTGATTGCACAAATAAACCAGTAAAGCTAAACAGATGAAAGAAAACTGTGTTGTCACTTCCTTGCTGTGCAAATTAAGAACCACACCAGATGTCCCCACTTCTCATTCATAGCCCCACAGGCTGTTTGTTCTCGCCTCCAGAGCAGAAAGCTGCAAAACCTGTATAATCGATGCCATTCCCAGTCATATGCAGCTTCAAAACCACATGTCATCGTCAGCATGAGCAATGCTGAATCACACAAAATGACTTGTCTGTACACAAAAGTTCATATCAAACTACCACAAATTTCACAGACTTTCCCAACAACTCTGTTAACCTATTAACAAAAGTCTCACCCAAGGGAAGCCAAATATGCTTGACTCACACGGAATAGTTACTGTTAACCTTCAGTCAACCACCAGTGACTCACAGCTGTCTCGGGAACTGCAGGCTCTTAATGGTCTAAAGGTTTTCCACCAACATGGTCTAGTCATGACCCCTCTGTTGCCTTAGCAGCCCATGTGGACCAACAGAATCAGATGCAGGGACTGTTGATGCCAGTCTTGACTTATCTCTGGAAAACATTCAGAAACAAATCTCATTACACCTTTGATTCAGGCATTTCGATGCTCTGGACTTCCTACACATATTCATGCCACTGCATATCTGTTTCTATTTGTTTCTGCTTAGTGTGCAGAGCAAACACTGATGTTTAAACTGTTCCAGGAGGGGATTTACTAATGTTTTCTGAGTTTTTATGCTCTTCTGAAGCTCCCCCACACCTTTTAACCTTCCAGGACACCTCCCCTCTCATAAGAGTAAACAGGCCTCACAGCACGCATGGCTCTCAGCCACTCAAAGGTCCTATAGCTGCATCCCATGAGCTTTTGGGCTCTCGATCCAGATAACACAAACAAATCAAAACAGTGTCATCCACAAACCCAGATTCCACTCTAGCTATGCTTTGGTTAACCTCTCTATCATGCTCAAGCCTCTGGGCCTTGCTGTCGTCCAGACACAAACACACAACCCACACAGCCAAACTCATAAACAGAGTAC